GCCGCCGCCGCCGCGCCCGCGCTGCGTCGCAGCGACTACCTCGACTCCTCCGACTCGGCTGGTCCGCTCAGCGGCGGCTCCGTCGACTCGCCGGCGCGGCCTGGCTCTAGCTAGGGTTAGGGTTTCCGGTGGGTTGCGACGGGTTGGTGGTGGTGGTGGACGGGGGGTGGGGTGGGGGAGACTTCTGAATCTGAACCGCGCGGATCGATCGATCCAGCAGGTTTGTTTGGGCCGGTCCAGGCCAAAATATACGGGTGGATAATGATCATCGTCGGATCGGACGGACGGTTCTGGGTTTTGAGATCGATCCGGATAACACAGCCCAAAAAGACTGACCAGGCCAGGGCCTTGTTCTTCTTACATCCTAAGGCCCCTTCCCAATGTTTCACCGTGTACTTCTCAAAAAAAAAATGCTTCACCATGTACACATGTTAAGGGTGTCCGCAAAAAAGGTAATATTGTTTTCTCAAAAAAAAAAATATTAATGTGGCAAAATAATTTAAAAAATAGATGAAGCGTCACGATGACCCCAGAAAAAAACGATGCTAAGCGCATGGGTCCATGCAAAATGCTTACCACCCAATACATGAAGGTGTTTAGGTGTTGAACAATTATTAAGTGTGCGCGCTATGAAGGTTACTCCTACACACATTAGAAAGATTAGATGCTAAGGTTTTTAATGCACTTAGCACCTCACTTAAGAAGCAATGCATTAGAAGAGCTTTCGGGCTTAAACTGTATTGGAATTATGGCGTTTGGGTTAGGCTTTTATGGGTCGATGAAGATAGAGGTTGATGCGGTTGCGGTACCACCCACAGCCTCAGCCACCAACGTCCTAAAATAAGTCTCAACTTCAATACAACTTTACAATAATTTTAGGATGGAGGGAGTACTTGAGAAGCACTCATCTGGCTCTTTGACGAACCAAACTTAGTACTCCATGAACACATAGTTGATGCACCGATGGTATGCCATTATCCGATTCATTGCATTCTCTAAGGGTTAATGTCCGGAAAAGTTATTAATTAGAAAAAATGAAACTCCATGGGCACTAGCACCCACGGTTTATTGATATAGAAGAAGCATCCCTCATGAGAATTCCAGAAATTTGTCCCCGACGTGGATCGAACTCTGATCGTTGGGTTTACAATCATGCGCCCCCAACCACTGGGCTATGCCCACGTCCTCAAAAATGAAACTCCATGGGCACTAGCACCCACGGTTTATTGATATAGAAGAAGCATCCCTCATGAGAATTCCAGAAATTCGTCCCCGACGTGGATCGAACTCTGGTCGTTGGGTTTACAATCATGCGCCCCCAACCACTGGGCTATGCCCACGTCCTCAAAAGTTATTAATTAGAAAGAGGAAAGAGTATATAAAGAATGGATCAAATTGATGAGTGTCGGCACGTGACTTTCTTAGTTGAAACGTGTTGACTTAGGCCATGTTTATTTGGGTTTATGCTTCAGCTAGCCAAAAGCCCCTGTTTTGGAAGGAAGGCCGTTAATGCTCTTTGGGAGCATATGCTTCCGGGTAAACAGAAAATTCAAAATAAATAGTAAAAAGGAGTAAAAAATCTGATTTTTTTGGGATGTTCATGTTAGTTTGCAATCATGACAATTTTCATGCGGAACAGGATGGTAGTGTTTCGTTGGTGAAAAAAACAAACATAAGTGTAACATTTGACGTTTGATTTGTTTTTTTCGCACAGGTCAAATAGCTTAAGCTTTCCCACTAAAAATTTGCAGGTCGCATTTGGGTGTGACAATGAACACATATATATTTTTAAATATTTTTTGACATTTGCAAAAAGTATTTTTGGCAGGCAGGAGCATATGCTCCCAAGAGCCAAATAGAATTTCTGCTATTTAGGAGCTGTTTTGACTTTTAAGCCAAAAAAGTACAGGCCCAAACAAACATGTCCTAAGCTTCTTTTTTTCTTTTGACATGGAATGCATTTGATGTATGTTTCTATTTACTCCGCATTTTTTTCCTCGCTTTTTGGGCTTTCGTCAGTAAGGAAACAGTCTATTTTGCCACCGGCCACGGCAGCTTCGTGCCCGATTGACAGAGACGACGCCTTGGCACACACCTTTACTAATAGAGATTTTTAGCAGTATGATTTGATTCCTTTATGTGGAGGCGAATGGATCCATGTGATTTTGATTCATCGGGGGCAAAACAAAGGGGGAAAAAAGGAAACACTTTGTGGGAAAAAGTTTTGAAAGGAAATCGGATGGGGGTGAGTAGAGATGGAGAAAATCGAAGATTTGCCACTTTCAATACGTGGCTTCTCAAAATTGCCACTTTCAAGATTGGCTTCGCAAAATTGCCACTTTGCTCATTGGCTCCTTGATCACCATGCCACTTCCCTCTTTTTATTGATTTTCTTTTTTCTTTTTCCATTTATAAGCACTGGAAAAGACCATAGTACCCCTGATGCTATGTACACAGTACAGGTTCTATCCACATCCTAATTGATCGTAATTGATACTTGAAGCAGGCGAGAGCGTGCCGGCCGCCGAGAATGCCGTGTGTGTTCCATCACTGATCTCCTCGACGCAGAGTGTCGTAGATCGTTTAGACGCCGCGTGCCGCCGATCTTCTCGACGTCTCGTGCCGCCGATCTCGTCGACGCCGCGTGCATGGATTCTGGACGGTATCATGTTGAGCCTTATCTCTGATTTGTTCAAAAATCTGTAGCAATTGATCTCTCGTTGCAAGGCTCGTTAACAAAGCTCTGCATCATGTGACGTACTGAATCTGTGAAAACTACAATCGTGATTTCAAACCTGCTCCCCTGCTACGTGAAACTATGGCCTACAAAATTATCACCTCATGCTTTGAAATTAAAGCTTTTTGTTGAATTGCAGGAAGAGGAAGCCCAGAAAGAACAGTACAAAAGCTGTGCATAGAAAGGGAAAACAAACTAGCACACACCTCCCACCTTCTATAAGGAAAAAACAGAGAAAAGGGCGGGCAGGGGCGAGATATATATAGGCAATTTTTTAATCCCGGTTGGGGACTAAAACCGGGACTGAAGACAGACGACCTTTAGTCCCGGTTCCAGACACCAACCCCTTTAGTTCCGGTTGGTGTCTGGAACCGGGAGAGGGCAGTTCTTCACAAACCACTAGAACTACCCCGGAGAGGATGCCAACTACAGCTCCACCAAAGAAGATGACCCTAAGGAGGATGCCGACAACAGCTCCACCAAAGAAGATGACTCCAAAGAGGAAGCTACCGGTTGGATAAATGATCTTGAGATGGCAATATGTCAGATGTGAACAAGTACTTTCAATATGCTTCTTATGTGAGAAGTGAACTCACTAGTAGTTTTACTCAGTGTGTTGCTTATGTGAGATATGAACTCAAAATTCCAATGAACTTGGAACTCAATATTTAAGCGAGTCCTAAGATGCAGCAAAATTTTCCCAGTTTATGTCTCATTATTACTCTTTTCTTCGATGTACTGTGTGAATATACACCAGATTATGCTTAGTTTTTCTCGTTTACGTTATGGTTGTTCCAAAATTTTGGTCTGCTCAATACACTCGAATTGTTGAATTTTTTTGTCTGTTGTGTGGATATAAATATCCAACATTTAGTCAACACAGTTTTTCTCATGTTCAAATTAAGATGTGAAAGACATTCAGTGTCCCCTCACAGTGGCGGAGTTTAGTGAGGGCCAAAGGGGGCCATTGCCCCCTCAACCAAATCCATTTCTTTACACTAGTTAATTGCACGTGCGTTGCAACGGGGATATGCATATTTTTTTCAAATATATTTCACATCGTTAGTTGTGAAAAACCACTCTTTCTCTCTGCATCCCGCCATCCTCACTCCCATCGCCCTCTCGCTCTCTTTCCATTTCCAGTTTCCTTTACATTAATTTGAGCACCCATGTTTTCAAGCATAATAAAATGTCTTCAAGTGAACAAAATAATTGTACACAATGATAACATACTTCAAGACATATATTTAGTAGGCATTG